CCCAGGAGGAAAAGAATAGAGAGGCATGTGAGCTTTTTTTCAAAATTCTGATGTATGCAATGATGTAATAGATCAATAATAGTAAGGTTGAGTCATGTATAAATAGAGGTCTTTGAGGAAAGAATGGGACATCTCGAGTTAGAAACCATTCTCTTTCCTTAAGCTCTTTTCAAAACCAGTTTTTCTGGAAACTCCTTGTATACAATAGAAACCTTTTATAAATCTTCAAAACCAGTTTTTCTGGAAACCCCTTGTATACAATAGAAACCTTGTATAAATCATTATAGAAATAAAATCTCAATCTTTTGATATCAGAAAAATATGAGTTTCTAAGCCTCCTATCCCATAGATTATTGACAGATTGAAGAAGATAATCTCTTTCTTACTTTAGCAAAGAAAGAATTTTCTTTACTTAAGATCTTTACTCGTAATTCTAAGAAAAGATACAGTGAGGGCAGAAGCTGAAATAACAGAATTCCGTAAGGTTGAGTCATGTATAAATAGAGGTCTTTGAGGAAAGAATGGGGCATCTCGAGTTAGAAACCATTCTCTTTCCTTAAACTCTTTTCAAAACCAGTTTTTCTGAAGGCAAGAGACCGTTTGAGGGAGCAGTTTGCAGATTCAGAGCCTGAAGGTCACTCGGTTCTAAAAATACAGATTTAAGATCAAAAGTAAGGTAAAATTATTGTCTTTGTTAAATTTAGAAAGAATTCTTCTAATATTTTGAAAGAATCGTAGGGATTATTACTTTTCATGTTTGCAAAAATCTTATATAACATGTTATTATTATTCATAAAGCTTGCAAAGAATTATCTGAATAATGCCATGTTATACAATTAAAGGATTAGATAATCTGTTAGAAAAATAGATAATTTCTTTCTTACTTTAGCAAAGAAAGAATTTTCTTTACTTAAGATCTTTACTCGTAATTCTAAGAAAAGATACAGTGATGGCAGAAGCTGAAATAGCAGAATTCTCATTGAGGCAAGAGACCGTTTGAGGGAGCAGTTTGCAGATTCAGAGCCTGAAGGTCACTCGGTTCTAAAAATACAGATTTAAGATCAAAAGTAAGGTAAAATTATTGTCTTTGTTAAATTTAGAAAGAATTCTTCTAATATTTTGAAAGAATCGTAGGGATTATTACTTTTCATGTTTGCAAAAACCTTATATAACATGTTATTATTATTCATAAAGCTTGCAAAGAATTATCTGAATAATGTCAGGTTATACATTTAAAGGATTAGATAATCTGTTAGAAAAATTATTGAAAAAAATAAGAAATATTTTTGCTCAACTAGAGATTATGGATATTTCATCTAAGGAATATGATAATCTTAGTAAATTACATGACAATTATATTACAGATTATGCTAATTTATTAGATTAAAGGATGGAATTATATATTAAAACTCGAAATGAGAGAAATTGAGGAATTTAGAACTATCCTAATAAATTAAGGATATTCTGTGCAAAATATGACAAATCCTTTCATTAAGGGTATTATAGACATCTTACCAAAAATGAATAGTAGTATGCCATTTATAAAAATCTCCCTGTTGGATTCTTTAGAAAAATTATTGAAAAAAATAAGAAATATTTTTGCTCAACTAGAGATTATGGATATTTCATTTAAGGAATATGATAATCTTAGTAAATTACATGACAATTATATTACAGATTATGCTAATTTATTAGATCAAAGGATGGAATTATATATTAAAACTCGAAATGAGAGAAATTGAGGAATTTAGAACTATCCTAATAAATTAAGGATATCCTGTGCAAAATATGACAAATCCTTTCATTAAGGGTATTATAGACATTTTACCAAAAATGAATAGTAGTATGCCATTTATAAAAATCTCCCTGTTGGATTCTACGCTTCGGGCTGGGAAATGCCCATCAATATCCATATCTACTTGGTCGAAACTTTACTTTTAAACTCATCAGATATTCCCTCACAAAGAAATCATATGACTGTCATTTCCCACAGACATCTTGGTTCTTGATCCACACAATCATGGTATACATTACGAACAATCGATTAAAATTGACTGAAGCGTTTTAATGCACTTCAATCTAATAAAATTACTGATTAATTTGGACATAGAGAGAGAGAGATTATCATATGCTTCTATTTACCAACTCATCCTGCCCGAGCAGCACAATCAGTAGCTTGGCTGCAACTCTCATGTCTGGCCAGTTTCACCAGCCGGTCCTGGCCGAGCATTTAAAAGTGGCTGGAGGGCTTTGACTACTATGCTCATGTTTGGCCGGAAATCAGCTTCATATTGTACACACAACGCAGCAACAGCAGCCATCTGCATTAAAATACTGAGAATGAGCAAGGAAAAGGGAATATAGCAGATAAACACCACGTAATCTCTTTCTATCAGATCAGTATCATTCTTCTTTAACAAAATGATATAAATAATTTCCTTTCAGTTGGAAACTTGATAATCACCTTAGCAACAGCCTTAGGAGGGTATTCACCTCCCAGTCTTCCATCGACACATTGCCTGACCTTGTCTTCGCTCAGCTTTGGCGTAGCCTAAATTATGTGGCAGAAAATTTGAATAACTAAAGCTCAGAAGAATTAGATTCTTTAATTATAGAATATAAGATGTGAAATAAACCACATATGTTAGAAGGGAAAACTGGGAGAAACTGATTACCCATGTAACTAGACTTTGCTGCCCACGAGGTAATGTATGATCAACGGGCTTACGTCCAGTAAGAAGCTCTAGAAGGACAACACCAAAGCTGTATACATCACTCTTTGAATTCAGCTGTCCAGTCATTGCATATCTGCCAAACAAGGTACCAAAATTCACCAGTAAATAACAAAACACCATAATAATGTTTTAGAGCCAATACAAAAAATGACGTCCAAATGAACACCAGGATTCATGCAAATAAGAATACATTGTTCTGATGACTGGAGAAAAAGTTTCATAAAATAGAATTCACGATAAATAAAAATTTCATAACTTACTCTTAAGATTTATCAAAATCTCAGTCAACTATCTGGGTTGTTAGAAAGACTAGGAAACAGATTAACATTAGAATCCAATGGTTTATTCAAGCTTCAATAACCATAATATAGTGAGCCAATCAACTCAATTTAAGTAATATGATCTATGAACTTGACTTTTGAGTTCCAAAACGGAGAGAAGGGAAAAATGTATATAAAAACATCTTCAAGAGATTCTCTAAATATGAACCATTCTATGTTATCTATTTTTTACTCTTAAATTCAATCTTTAAATACAAGATTCTCTTTATTTTAGAGAGTCGATACCTAAAAATAAGCTCCAAGAGAGGCTCTATTTCAAGTTTTTAAAATAAAAGTGGGGTTGGCTCTATTCTTACTTATTATGATTGCATTTAATAAACTATTCATCACTTCTTAAATTATTCATAACATATTTGAATTGATTAACCATTAGACATATAAAAATACAGTTCTTACTTGGTGGTGATTAAAATTAGATTTTTAGCAAATTTTAATAAAAGTTGATGAAATGTATAGTTGAAAAATTGTGGGCCCCACGAAATATATCGTTATTAATTATTGACTTTGATATAAATTAAAATCTAGATTTTAATTCCCACCAAACAAAGGCGTAATATGTTAAATAAAAGATTGAGAGCATTGTTTAAGTATATAAAATAATTTCCTCTTAATATTTCAAAAGGGGAGAGAGGAGAGAAAATGTATATAGCGTTGCAAAAATATCTTACTCAGGAGCATGATAACCAAACGTTCCAAGAACACGAGTTGAGTGAAGACGTGCTGCCATATCAGGAGCTTGATTTGACAAATCAAAGTCAGCAATTTTAGCATCATCATTATCAAAGATTAACACATTGCTGGACTTAACATCACGGTGGATGATGTGAGGATTTGATTTTTCATGCAAATATTCAAGTCCCTTAGCAGCACCAACTGCAATCTTTACACGCTGTGTCCATGAAAGAACTGGACCAGGTTGTGCTCCTTTAACACCTTTCCTTCCTGAATGATGACAAGTAAAGATTGAAAATTGAAATTTCAACTCAAGTTGCTAGTATGAATCAGAACACGGAACAGTTAATGATAAAAGGTCAGACCAAACAAAAACTCAGGCATTCCAATTAGTATAAAGGCAAGGGAATGGCTACTGAGAAGTTGTGTAATGATAAAAATATCAAAAGATTTGGGAGCCGTATAATCACCAAAATGTCAACAAAGGCCTATCTCAATCTACCTCTTAAGCAGTCAGTTATAATTATAGCTTGATCCAACTATCATTCAAATGAAACTGCAGTCATGTAAGTTTTTAAATTTGATGTCCCACATCTGCATGTAATGTTGTTTCAGTCTTTCAGATTCATCCTATTTGGACTCCAAGATTATCGCTTTGGGGGGGGGGGGGGGGGGGGGGGCGAAGAAAAAAAAAATATTAGGGGGGGGGGGGGGGTTGACAAGGAAAAGAAAGTATATTGGAGCAGGAGGTGGTGATATACCATGAAGAATATCGTGAAGAGAACCATTCGATGCAAATTCGTACACAAGAACACGCTGATTGCCATCAACACAATAACCAAGTAACTCAACAAAATTTTCATGTTTTAGCCTTGAAACCATAGAAACCTGCAAGTTCAAAAACAATTTGTTGGATATACTTAGCCCTTGTTTGTCATCATTTAACAAATTAAATTGTTTGCTACAGTAATATTTTCCATCATAAATTCACACAATAAAATATTCTACACACAAACCAATAAAGTTTCTTTAAATTTTAACCACACATTCTCCAAAAAAAATATTGTTCAAAACTCTACAATTTCTCCTATAATGGGAGACAAATAGGCTCTTAATGCTGAATGCCTGATTCCTCATAGGACTGAGTAAGTTATAATATTCAAATGAAACCTGGGCTAAGAATTCGTCATCTGGTTGCTTGCTTGCATCCAACTTCTTTATTGCAGCAGCCCTTCCATTCTTAAGGATTCCATAATATACCCGTCCATATGAGCCTTCCCCAATTAAAGAATCAGAGCCAAAGTTATCTGTAATTTCTTTCAATTCATCCCCGGGAATTGACGGAACTGCAATAGGCTGGACATTAACAGCTTGAGATTTCAGTGCAGCATCTGTTGTATGATAATGTCCTTCATTTCCTGGAGGAAGAACTCTAACTTAGTTTAAACTTGGTCTAGTCACTAAAGATAAAAATAATATGAATCATGTAGCGTGAAACAGGAAAGAAAAAACAAGAATAGAAAAGTCAGAAAGATCGCAAAGTAGTAGTGAATGCACATATTTCAAGGTGTCGATTAAATCAGACACCTATAAACAATGAATAAATCCACCTGTCTTAGCTGAATGCTTGACTTGATTGGAGAATTAAATCATTCTAAACATTAAGTAAAACCAAAATTCAATACTTCTAAGTTTATCAATGTAGACCAGAATGATAAACAATGTTTAGAAGGACTGTAATGTTTAACCCAACCAGGCACTTTGTCCCCAGAAAACATATGTAAATAAATTAACCAACTCTCAAACAATATTGAAAATCGGTCTGATTTTCTAAGTCCTAGTTAATTATTCTATCATAAAAGTAGCATTGATACTATCGGCGTGAATATTCATCCTGTTATCTATAATTTTTTAGACTCTTTGTTGCTACATCACAACTACGCAACATTAGAATATTGTGGAGAGGAGGTGTACAGAAGGAACAGGCAAGATACTCTAGGTGAATAGTAGCACTACAATTATTCAACCCGTATAATATCGATTTATCCATGTGCTTTTCTTTCTAAATAGAAAAAGGAAGGGGTTGAGGGCCCAACAGGACAACAATAACAAACGCATGTAAAGGAAGAAAAATATATATTACATCATGCAAACTAGGCAAATAAACCAGATACATAGCAGATTAACGTAGAGGCAAAGTTAGAGCATTCATTCTAATAGCAAGAGCAATACAAACAAACTAATTTAAGCTAATGCAGAGAAAATTGATTGTCATGACTTGGTGCCCTTCATGTGAATGCCTAAATATGGGGTTTTCAGATTTACCAACTGAATTTTTCATCATATAATGGCCTCCACCATCAGCATGTTTACCAATGTCATCTTCTTCACAACAACCAAAACAGCTCATGTTTGTTTTCCTCAAAGTATCTCCTCTCCGTATAACAGGATTCCTTTTCCTGTAAGAAAGAGAAAGCTCCCTTTGATGCGTAATGCATAGCATGAAAAAGGATTTAATGAGCTAGAAAGAAACTGTATTTCTGAGTCAATATTCAGAGTAATTCCATCTGAATATTTGGAAAATCGTACAAAATTCATATTCAACGGAGCAACAATTTCCAAAAAGTTAACGAATTTAGAAAGATTTCTACTGGAGCTTAAACCTTTCAGCAAACGCTTATTTGACCTAGCCACAGCACTTTGATTTCAGTCCAAAAAGTGCAAGAAAATTATTAGAATACAACCATTTTACCGACTGCAATTCTGCATCTTTTCCATGCTTCCGGGGTTTTCAGACTACTTGCTACACAATTAGCATAATTATGATAAAAGTGTAAACAGAAAATTCTGAAATCAAGGATGTGAAATGACAAAGACGGTTGGGGTGCTTTGATCAAGCATAAATCAACAGTTCATGACTCAAGGACCACTGGCTGAAAATTATGGCAGTGTTTAAAGATATTTCAAAATCTTGTATACAAGACCAAATGTAGACTACTAACACTACTATTATATTTACTAAGTTTTTTACTTCTAATGTAATATTAGGTCTAATACAAGCTATCCAATAGCACTAGCCAGACTACTAAGCTACTAGTAAATTTACTAAGTTTTTCAACTGTTGATGTAATATTAGTTGTAATACAAGCTATAAACATCCAATAACACCAGCCACTAATATCATACTCATTGGACACCGACGCAGTGATATATCAAAAGGTGTACTAACAGTTGTACAGTCACAGCGATAAATTTTTGAATTGTTGTTTATGCAAAGAGAGCGGTATAGTATGATGCTATCTTGAGCATTATCTATTTCAGCTGAATCAGTATTATCTACTTTTTATTTCAGCGGCATCATTTCTTTGCAAAATATAAAGTAAAATAAATTCACGATTAATTGCACAGTTGTCACAAAATACAAGATCGTGATATTCACCGGCTCTAGTAGTTCTTACCATGTTGTGATACATAATTCAACTTGCACGCTTCAAAATTTGTTCAAAGCATCATAGTTTGAACTGAAAAGACAAACATAATAAAACCTACAATAATCATCAATATAAGTAAAATAATTAACCAAAATCATTTTCATCCCCTTTGACTGCAACAATTGTTCATAATCCATGTACATGACACTACCTAGTTCCTTGGGTGTATAATCAAATAATAGACTTGTTTCTAGAAACATGCCTGGTCATACCAAAATCAGTACACTGAGACAGGTCACTTGAAGGAGGTTAACTTCAGAAAGCATATCCACAACCTTGTCTTTGCATTTTGCTTCTTCATCTGCCATGTCATTGTAGCTACTTCCTTCCCCATCAAACTTTGGAGCCATCATTATAGTTGTCAAGAGTTATCTTTCTATCATCCTTTTCAGTTTTTGAATAGCTCTCAAGTTAGCAAGAGTTATCTTTTTTCTTTTTTATGCTTAGGATCATTCTTAAAGAATTTCCATAACCGAGGAAGTGCATCTATAATAGCATACACAATTATAGATTCTATCCTGATTTATAAGACATGTAATAAACTGATCAGCATTTTGCTAAATTTCATTAAATTGCTCGGCATCATTTCTACCATCAACCAATATTGACATAAAAAATTTTTGGCAATGAATTTATTTCTCATTGCATCCTGTACCGTATATATTGTTGCCAACATGTCTTCAATGTCTTTTGTTGTCAAAATATCTGAGTAGAAGCCAAACAATGTGTTTGACAAAGAGTTGCAGGTGTGACCCTAATACCATTTCCCATTTCAGTCTTCATCGAGTCAATGCAAAGGTTTCATCCTCCCTGATCTCTCTAGATCAGGAGATCGGAAAATAGGAACCATTTCATCAAGTCTATGCAACAGTTTCATCCTCCATGGTTTCTCTACCTCGGGAGATGGGCAAATAGGAACTATACTTGATCGCCAAAGCGGATAAATAATTAATACTTGTAACCAGGCATTTAAACTCTTTATACCTTTAAAATACAATGACTGTGTAACGATTCCAACACAAGATGCATTCATTCGTCCACAATGTTGTAGATCGAAACAATATAATACTCATAAACGGACAAACACGAGAAGGACGGAAAACTAATTTAGATATTTAAGACAAGACTGTTGATACGAACAAACACAGGGATCTAGGAGGAACCAGTTAGATAACATATGATCATCAATTATAATTGAAGCAACAAATTCAAGTAACATATTTATCAAAAACACCAAGATCAAAATTGAAGGAAAGCAATAACTAAACCTGAAATCAGCAAGCGATGCAAGAGAGTCTTATACCAATATACTCAAGTAACTCCACAATCCACACACTGAGTGAGTCAGAGAGAAAGCGATATAGAAGAGAGATTGGGCAATCGAGGAGAGGATGATCGGAAATCGAATCCGGCGATAAATGAGGAAGGAATTAAGCGTAATGGGAGAATCAATGGGTTTATATATATTATTATAATGTGCGTGTGAGAAAGAGAGAGACTCGTCTTTGCTTATATAAAAATCGGGCTTTGATTCGTTCAAGAATCGAGTTAACTTTGCATAATACTCGAAGGTTTAGAGCATGTTTGAGTTTGCTTCTTTTGTAGAAGTCGTCAATTTTTAAAAGAGGAAATTAGATGGCAAGGTCAAAAGGTGAGATGTCTTCATCACTTTCGGTTTTTAGAATAGAGTAATGGGCACAAAATTATTATTGTGCAAATCGTTGTTATCGTTTCATTGTTGATACTTGAACTCACGTATCGATCATTCTTTGCACAAATTATTCGTGCCGTCTCATCCCGTTTATTTTCTATGTCAAATGTTCGCATGTAGTCTACTGGTATGATTTGCTTAATGACACTTGGTTAAGACACTAACTAACCATCTTTTTCCATTTAATCCTACTTAATCTTATATGGTAATACTATCTGCATATAAATTATAGGTTTATATCAGCGTATATATGTGTGCAAAAAAAATATATTCAGATTTATATATGTAAAATTATACCAAATCTTCTTTCTACACCAGAAAATAACAATGAATTATTTAAATGCTCTTTAAAATTTATTCCACATTATCTGCATAAAAAATCTACGTTTATTTGCATCCTAGAAGGGAATTTCGAATTGAATTTTTCCATCATAAATTCACACAATAAAATATTCTACACACAAACCAATAAAGTTTCTTTAAATTTTAACCACACATTCTCCAAAAAAAATATTGTTCAAAACTCTACAATTTCTCCTATAATGGGAGACAAATAGGCTCTTAATGCTGAATGCCTGATTCCTCATAGGACTGAGTAAGTTATAATATTCAAATGAAACCTGGGCTAAGAATTCGTCATCTGGTTGCTTGCTTGCATCCAACTTCTTTATTGCAGCAGCCCTTCCATTCTTAAGGATTCCATAATATACCCGTCCATATGAGCCTTCCCCAATTAAAGAATCAGAGCCAAAGTTATCTGTAATTTCTTTCAATTCATCCCCGGGAATTGACGGAACTGCAATAGGCTGGACATTAACAGCTTGAGATTTCAGTGCAGCATCTGTTGTATGATAATGTCCTTCATTTCCTGGAGGAAGAACTCTAACTTAGTTTAAACTTGGTCTAGTCACTAAAGATAAAAATAATATGAATCATGTAGCGTGAAACAGGAAAGAAAAAACAAGAATAGAAAAGTCAGAAAGATCGCAAAGTAGTAGTGAATGCACATATTTCAAGGTGTCGATTAAATCAGACACCTATAAACAATGAATAAATCCACCTGTCTTAGCTGAATGCTTGACTTGATTGGAGAATTAAATCATTCTAAACATTAAGTAAAACCAAAATTCAATACTTCTAAGTTTATCAATGTAGACCAGAATGATAAACAATGTTTAGAAGGACTGTAATGTTTAACCCACCCAGGCACTTTGTCCCCAGAAAACATATGTAAATAAATTAACCAATTCTCAAACAATATTGAAAATCGGTCTGATTTTCTAAGTCCTAGTTAATTATTCTATCATAAAAGTAGCATTGATACTATCGGCGTGAATATTCATCCTGTTATCTATAATTTTTTAGACTCTTTGTTGCTACATCACAACTACGCAACATTAGAATATTGTGGAGAGGAGGTGTACAGAAGGAACAGGCAAGATACTCTAGGTGAATAGTAGCACTACAATTATTCAACCCGTATAATATCGATTTATCCATGTGCTTTTCTTTCTAAATAGAAAAAGGAAGGGGTTGAGGGCCCAACAGGACAACAATAACAAACGCATGTAAAGGAAGAAAAATATATATTACATCATGCAAACTAGGCAAATAAACCAGATACATAGCAGATTAACGTAGAGGCAAAGTTAGAGCATTCATTCTAATAGCAAGAGCAATACAAACAAACTAATTTAAGCTAATGCAGAGAAAATTGATTGTCATGACTTGGTGCCCTTCATGTGAATGCCTAAATATGGGGTTTTCAGATTTACCAACTGAATTTTTCATCATATAATGGCCTCCACCATCAGCATGTTTACCAATGTCATCTTCTTCACAACAACCAAAACAGCTCATGTTTGTTTTCCTCAAAGTATCTCCTCTCCGTATAACAGGATTCCTTTTCCTGTAAGAAAGAGAAAGCTCCCTTTGATGCGTAATGCATAGCATGAAAAAGGATTTAATGAGCTAGAAAGAAACTGTATTTCTGAGTCAATATTCAGAGTAATTCCATCTGAATATTTGGAAAATCGTACAAAATTCATATTCAACGGAGCAACAATTTCCAAAAAGTTAACAAATTTAGAAAGATTTCTACTGGAGCTTAAACCTTTCAGCAAACGCTTATTTGACCTAGCCACAGCACTTTGATTTCAGTCCAAAAAGTGCAAGAAAATTATTAGAATACAACCATTTTACCGACTGCAATTCTGCATCTTTTCCATGCTTCCGGGGTTTTCAGACTACTTGCTACACAATTAGCATAATTATGATAAAAGTGTAAACAGAAAATTCTGAAATCAAGGATGTGAAATGACAAAGACGGTTGGGGTGCTTTGATCAAGCATAAATCAACAGTTCATGACTCAAGGACCACTGGCTGAAAATTATGGCAGTGTTTAAAGATATTTCAAAATCTTGTATACAAGACCAAATGTAGACTACTAACACTACTATTATATTTACTAAGTTTTTTACTTCTAATGTAATATTAGGTCTAATACAAGCTATCCAATAGCACTAGCCAGACTACTAAGCTACTAGTAAATTTACTAAGTTTTTCAACTGTTGATGTAATATTAGTTGTAATACAAGCTATAAACATCCAATAACACCAGCCACTAATATCATACTCATTGGACACCGACGCAGTGATATATCAAAAGGTGTACTAACAGTTGTACAGTCACAGCGATAAATTTTTGAATTGTTGTTTATGCAAAGAGAGCGGTATAGTATGATGCTATCTTGAGCATTATCTATTTCAGCTGAATCAGTATTATCTACTTTTTATTTCAGCGGCATCATTTCTTTGCAAAATATAAAGTAAAATAAATTCACGATTAATTGCACAGTTGTCACAAAATACAAGATCGTGATATTCACCGGCTCTAGTAGTTCTTACCATGTTGTGATACATAATTCAACTTGCACGCTTCAAAATTTGTTCAAAGCATCATAGTTTGAACTGAAAAGACAAACATAATAAAACCTACAATAATCATCAATATAAGTAAAATAATTAACCAAAATCATTTTCATCCCCTTTGACTGCAACAATTGTTCATATCCATGTACATGACACTACCTAGTTCCTTGGGTGTATAATCAAATAATAGACTTGTTTCTAGAAACATGCCTGGTCATACCAAAATCAGTACACTGAGACAGGTCACTTGAAGGAGGTTAACTTCAGAAAGCATATCCACAACCTTGTCTTTGCATTTTGCTTCTTCATCTGCCATGTCATTGTAGCTACTTCCTTCCCCATCAAACTTTGGAGCCATCATTATAGTTGTCAAGAGTTATCTTTCTATCATCCTTTTCAGTTTTTGAATAGCTCTCAAGTTAGCAAGAGTTATCTTTTTTCTTTTTTATGCTTAGGATCATTCTTAAAGAATTTCCATAACCGAGGAAGTGCATCTATAATAGCATACACAATTATAGATTCTATCCTGATTTATAAGACATGTAATAAACTGATCAGCATTTTGCTAAATTTCATTAAATTGCTCGGCATCATTTCTACCATCAACCAATATTGACATAAAAAATTTTTGGCAATGAATTTATTTCTCATTGCATCCTGTACCGTATATATTGTTGCCAACATGTCTTCAATGTCTTTTGTTGTCAAAATATCTGAGTAGAAGCCAAACAATGTGTTTGACAAAGAGTTGCAGGTGTGACCCTAATACCATTTCCCATTTCAGTCTTCATCGAGTCAATGCAAAGGTTTCATCCTCCCTGATCTCTCTAGATCAGGAGATCGGAAAATAGGAACCATTTCATCAAGTCTATGCAACAGTTTCATCCTCCATGGTTTCTCTACCTCGGGAGATGGGCAAATAGGAACTATACTTGATCGCCAAAGCGGATAAATAATTAATACTTGTAACCAGGCATTTAAACTCTTTATACCTTTAAAATACAATGACTGTGTAACGATTCCAACACAAGATGCATTCATTCGTCCACAATGTTGTAGATCGAAACAATATAATACTCATAAACGGACAAACACGAGAAGGACGGAAAACTAATTTAGATATTTAAGACAAGACTGTTGATACGAACAAACACAGGGATCTAGGAGGAACCAGTTAGATAACATATGATCATCAATTATAATTGAAGCAACAAATTCAAGTAACATATTTATCAAAAACACCAAGATCAAAATTGAAGGAAAGCAATAACTAAACCTGAAATCAGCAAGCGATGCAAGAGAGTCTTATACCAATATACTCAAGTAACTCCACAATCCACACACTGAGTGAGTCAGAGAGAAAGCGATATAGAAGAGAGATTGGGCAATCGAGGAGAGGATGATCGGAAATCGAATCCGGCGATAAATGAGGAAGGAATTAAGCGTAATGGGAGAATCAATGGGTTTATATATATTATTATAATGTGCGTGTGAGAAAGAGAGAGACTCGTCTTTGCTTATATAAAAATCGGGCTTTGATTCGTTCAAGAATCGAGTTAAGTTTGCATAATACTCGAAGGTTTAGAGCATGTTTGAGTTTGCTTCTTTTGTAGAAGTCGTCAATTTTTAAAAGAGGAAATTAGATGGCAAGGTCAAAAGGTGAGATGTCTTCATCACTTTCGGTTTTTAGAATAGAGTAATGGGCACAAAATTATTATTGTGCAAATCGTTATCGTTTCATTGTAGATACTTGAACTCACGTATCGATCATTCTTTGCACAAATTATTCGTGCCGTCTCATCCCGTTTATTTTCTATGTCAAATGTTCGCATGTAGTCTACTGGTATGATTTGCTTAATGACACTTGGTTAAGACACTAACTAACCATCTTTTTCCATTTAATCCTACTTAATCTTATATGGTAATACTATCTGCATATAAATTATAGGTTTATATCAGCGTATATATGTGTGCAAAAAAAATATATTCAGATTTATATATGTAAAATTATACCAAATCTTCTTTCTACACCAGAAAATAACAATGAATTATTTAAATGCTCTTTAAAATTTATTCCACATTATCTGCATAAAAAATCTACGTTTATTTGCATCCTAGAAGGGAATTTCGAATTGAATTTTGTAATAAAATCTAGTTTGATGGGTGAAATAGCGAGTTTTCGTTAGGCCAATATCGAAATTTGTAAACATTTAACGAGTAGTTAGTCAAATATCGAGTTTGAATGGGAAATCTTGAGTTAGTCATTTTTTTATTTTTTATTTTTTAAATCAACAACTCCAATTGCCTTCATTATTTGGGTTAGACATTAAAATTGGATAATGTTGTGTGTACACCTGATGGTGTACACACAGCTTTACACCCCTCTCACATGGAGGGGGGTCACGAATATTTTATTACATGTGGACCTCCCTCCATGTGAGGGAAGTGTAAGCGTGTGTACACTATTGTATACGCACAGCACAACCCTTTAAAATTAATTATGTCTTCAATTGTTTATTATTTACCATGTGAAGATTTGTGTACAGAAGTTATTCGAGCTAACTTCCGCACAATCCACAACAAAATCAAGATTTACACAATAAACTCTATATTAGCTTAGCACGCTCGACGTTTGCATAGCAAACTCGATATTTAACATGTTAACTCAGCAAATATCTACAAAATTCGATATTTGACCAACAAAACCTCATCATTTCACCTATTAAATTAGAGATTATGTACAACATCCGGTCCGAATTTTACTTTGAGAATGCAGAGGCCAGAGGGTAAGTTTAGTAAGCATTAATTTAGTTGACTCGCACGATCCATTCTTCTTCTCTCGTGCAAAGAGGGAAAAAAGGGTTATTAGGCCCCGTTTGATTGCACGAGATTTTCCATGGAACTTGAAATTCGAATTCCAACTTCCACTTTTAGCCTGTTTGATTGACGGGGTAGGTGGTTTTTGATTTTCCCCCTTTTTTTTTTTTTTTTTTTGCTTTTTGTTTTTTTTTTTTTAAATTTTTGGCAATGGGAACAAATTATAGGAACAATTGTAAAAGAGGATATTCCTAAAATTGACAATTTTCATGTAAAACAACCAAACGAACATCAAAATATAGATGATTTTTTGATCTTTTTTTTCCTTTTTTTTTTTGGTTGGCAATGGTAACAAATTCTAGGAACAATGGTAGAAGTGGATATCCCTTAAATTAACAATTTTCATGTAAAATAAAGCCAAACGAACACCGAAAAACACTTTTACTTCAACATTTTCCACGTGAAAATTATACCAATCAAACACAATAATTTACAATTCCCAATAAAACAATTTTTAAATAATTCAATTCCTTGGAATTCATTTTCTTTCGACCCAAATTCCATCTTCGCAATCAAACAGCTTAATGTTTTGACCAATATACCATTGGACAAATTACATGGGTGGATTACACAACCATTTGACATAGCAAATGGACGAATGAGACAACATGAGTGCTTTGTGCAAAGAATGATCGATTTGAAGGGCAATTGTCATAAGTGAAATGATATGGATCATTCAACGATATGAAAATTTAACGAGAATTTCCATTTCTAGTTCATTTACATAATCGAGTCTTCATGATGAATATGGACAATGAATTCTATATTAACGAGAATCTCGTAAATTTTATATATATTTGATTAGAGAACATTTAAATAAAGGCATTACAATTAATTTGCAAAAGTAAATGAACATATATTAAGGATATATGAGGTTTTCATTATTTTTTTTTTTTGACTAAGTAGATTAGTCTAAAAACTTTCATTTTCTACATCTTGATACCAATAAATTGACCTTTTTTCTCTTAAACTAAATCAAACATGCTAGCTTACTACTACTCCTCCTCCTAACTCACGATTGGATCACTTCTGATAGTAATTCTTTTGAAGACATTTTTAGTATAGATTCCCTTTATTTACAAGTTCATAGGATTCAACTGTTAGCTTCGCTAATTCTTTTTTTATTATTTTTTTTTATTATTTTGAAGGGTGGTTGGGGGTGGGGGAATCCACCAAGTTGTGAATAAAACATCCTTTCAATCATGAATACGTAAAATCACTTACCAAATGCAATGAACTTTTACATATGATTGGATGTGTTGGTTATACATGTGAGCATGTGATTCTAGTCCAATAATATCATTTCATTAAGACGCCACTTTAAATGTGTCGTCGTTTGTAATTTTCTATAATCCAAAAAGAATACTCATAATCGATTTAGAAATACACCAAATTTATTTCATTGACGAATGATGCATAAGTCACAGGGAAAGGGAACGTCATTTTTTTGGGATAGTGTATTTTGGAAGTGAATTTTTGGAGAATGTATGATTAAAAATTGGAGAAAAAAATTGAATTTATGTGTAAAATTATCTTATGGGATAATGCGTGGTTGAAAATAAATTTTGAAAATAATGAAATTCAAACGTGGGCTTAATTTTATTCAAGAATTATTGTCTAATAATATACTTATAACTTATTCATGAGATGCGCTACACGTACAGATGAGGGGTTCACAAAATCCCTCTAGATCACATACAACAGGGGTGTGGGTGTTTTTTGACAATATTTTATTTACATGGATCTCACCCTCTCTGTACATACGAAAAAACTGTTGATTCATTGTCCTTTACAATACAAGGCAGTGCTAGGATCCTTGTCAATTGCATGTTAGGTTAGATTCTAAAATTCTGAACAAGATTTGAGGAGGAAATTTAGGGTATTGCCTCTTTGCCAGCCCCCTCTGCCAGAGGTCTTACAAAGCCTCTGTCATAAGGTGGGTCCTCCACCTCTTTAAAAAAATACCTCATAAATGCCTATCCACCATATTTTGTGTGAGGCCTGTAAGGGATCTGGCAATGTAGCAAAACCCGAAAATTTAGGTCACTGCTAACTGCAAAGCACAAAATAGTAAGGGGATTGTTTTGTTAGGTTCCATGATCAAAATTTCCCAACACATGACCAACCTCAACCCTTGATGTCATTTTGTATGACAATTCAAAACACAAAAAAAATAAGCCCCTATTTGATTGAGATAAAAAAAAGAAAAAGAAATTTTTAGTAGATTTTGATAAAAAATTGATGAATTGTGTGATTGAAAAGATGTATATCTTGTACGTGTGGTTATAATTAATTATTGATTTTGATATAAATTTTGAACCATTTTCTAATATGAACCAAACACAAATATTAATTTAATAGAGTAAGAAAATGACTCGACTATTAAAAAATTGAGAAAATTACAAAATAAAAGTTGTTTAACTATTACAATTCAAAAATTAGGGATAGAGTTCAATTTTTCACAAATTAGGTAGTAACACAATAATTAAGATGGTGTTTGACATCCATTTTCATGGAAAAATGAATTTTAGAATAGTAAATTGATGGAGACTACGTGGATGAAAAATAAGAAAAAAAATTATTTACGTGTGATATTATTTTAATGAAGAACGTGTTGTTGAAAAGAAGAGAGAGAAAAATTCATTTTGAGAAAAATGGGAATCAAACGTTGTTTAAATATTAAATATTTCCATACAATTCAATTACAAACCCTGTCATTTTCATTCTTCTCACCCACTCTCCATCTTCTTCCTCTCCCTCTCAAGTCCTATTCCCTGGTTGTCGACGTTGTCGGAGCACTCGCTGTCACCGCCACGAAAATAGCACCGTTGTAGTGAAGAGATCGGAGCTTCTACGAACGGAAGCATAGCAACAACGATATGTACACGAAGGACATCATAAATCTTCTTCAATTTGTATAGGTTTGTGCGTCGTCGCTCATTTTCCCTTCTTGTAGAGGCGCTTCATCCATTATCGGAGATGGTGGTGCTGTGAACGCCGCTGCCCACGACTCTGCTTGTTTTTTTTTTTAGGTTGTTGGTAGTTTGCTTGATTGCATGGTGGATCTGGCGGATGGGGGTGTGTTTGGATGGCAGTTTGTTTTGTGGTGGTGACAGTTTTTATGTGGTGGTGAATGTGTCAGTTTGGGATGTTGAATTGCTTGAATAGCGGTCGGAAGAGACCCGTCATGAGGTTATGGTTGTTTTTGTTGTTGGCGGTGGTTATGATGGTGTTATGCAGGCGACGACTTTGTGGCGATGGTCATGGTGGTATTGTGGAGTGAGCGGGATGGGATAGTGATTGTGACCAACTATTTAATTGATTTCTGATAAAAAATTGATAGTGGATCGGGATCGATGGTGGGGTTATTGGTGTATGTGATCAACGCTTTTGTTTTTTGTGACTCACCATTAAACCGTGATCTTAAAATTCGATAATTTGTGACTAATAAATTTGAAAATCTGCGATCGAAAATAAATTGTGACCTGTATTTTTTTTTTTAATTTGTGACCAATGAAATAAACCGTGGCCTATAAAAAAATTTATTGTGACTTTGAAATAATTTGTAACCTACCAAATTTTTGATTCTTAACCTCAAAATAATCTATGACCAATTAATTTGACAATATATGCCCAGTAAAAAAGTTGTGACCTATAATTTTGT